AATTGAAGTATGTCGGCTACACCATTCAAGGTCAACCTGGAGTATCTTCTGGCTCTGGTTCGCGTACGTCTACACCAATTGCCAACCCGGGTCGCCGTTGGTTCGAGGCTAGACAATTCGTCCCAAGTGGCAGTAGATTGTCCTCTCCTGGTATGGCCAGCCCCGGACCTGGCAACAGAGTCTGGGCAGAGTCAAGATCGGAGAGCGGACAGATGTAAGTGTGGCAGATCATGAAGGAATTGGTGGGTAGATGTGTGGGAAACGTGGGAGGATTGAAGATACCACGGTATCTGGAAAGGTTCATGGTTATGATAATGGTGAATAGGCATACGATACTCGAATAGTAGTTGACGAGTCTTTATAGTTGGGATCTTCCTCGACTTTTACTTTGGCATCTATCTAAACGGTGTAATGGCGAAGGCAATATGGTATCCGAAAATTTATCTAGATGGCGAACGTCGACTGTTTACTCAGCCAACCATTGCTTGATCGTCATTATTGACTTCATCAATGGTCTGATTGTGGTCTGGTTCATATAATTCACAAGATAAATCAAATTGCTTTTTAGAACTTTGTGGCTCCCCTTTGATCGCTGTGAGATGAATAAATCTTGTTGGAGGGAACGAAAGAATCATCTGTGCAAACGAGGAGTGCACCAGAGCACCAGAGTAGTTGCCATGATTAGTAAGCACATTTCTTATCCTGGTGTCCGGTCCTTCCTTATCGAAGCTCCAAGCTCCAAGCTTCCAAAAATGTTGAAGGCAACAGCGAGCTTCAAATATTCAGAATGCGGTTCAAGACTTCTGTTAGGAATATTCAAACGCTTAGTAGTAAGTAAAATGCTTCGAATTCCCTTCAGAGACTTCAGAGAAGTTTAGTAGCTTACAAAACTACAGAACTTACAGCATCATTGTCATCACTTGGCAAAGTAGCTTGGGTGCGTCTTGACGATAATGGAGTACGATTCACAATTATTCCTGAGACAGGAACTCAAGTTTGGGCGTAAGTATTGCCTCATTTATAGTCTGGGTTACAATACTGACCTTGAGCAGGTCTCTCGCGATCGATTCCATCTTTGAAGACTACACAATTCAATCCGCCGCTCCAGACAATACAATTAACATAGAATTACCCCTCCCACCCCTCCATCGCGCTTTGAAATCCGCCATTAACGCGTCATCTGCTTCGATACGACTCACAAAACGAGATGGTATGCCAGTCTTATCTCTTACAGTTATTACAAATACAATGATGCATGGAAAGAGTGCAAACTTTCTTGGTGGCGAAGGTGCACAAGCAGACCCATTTGGAGAAGGATTCCGGGAAGAAAGTCTTGATGCGAACATAAGGAGAGACAGAGAAGCCATTGTTACTCAAGATATACCGATACGTATCTTGACAGCAGACAGTGTCGAGGGAATACATGAACCAAGGGTTAGGGATCCAGATGCGCATATTATGTTACCTTCTTTGATACAACTGAAAGCTATCTCGGAACGTTTTACAAAACTCGCAATGGCCACTGGATCCGGCGGAACTAGGGGAGTAAGTGGGGGAAACATACCTAAGTTAGAGTTGAGTGCGAATATGCATGGAAATCTAAGGTTGAGTATTGCTACCGATGCATTGAATATTTCAAGCGTTTGGACAGGACTTAATAATCCGGAATTGGATCCAAGACAATTGGAAGATGGTGATGATGAAATTCAAAATCATCCAGCTACAAGACTTAAAGCTGCCGGTCCAGATGCTTGGTCAACTGTTAGAATAGATGGAAGAGATTGGGGCAAGGTACTTAGTGTTGGAAGGCTTGGTGGAAGAGTAATTGCATGTGGGTATTGTAGATCTCTATGTTGATGATTGATGCTGATGATTATAGGTTTCGTCAATGACCATGCATTGATCTTATATGTTTACCTCGATAACTATGACGATCGCGGAGATGAATCTGTCCTAACAGTATGGCTGACAGTTCCCATCATCACTGACATTGCTAACGTTTACTAGTATTACATTTCCTCTTTCAGTGCATAAAGCACTAACAAGAGCATGGAATTTTTTTATTTTAGCGGTGGCGTTTGGGTCGATACCACATTTTGCATTGAACATTTGTATAGCTAGAAATTTGTGTGATTGAATTTTACAAGATATAGCTTCATGGATATGAATACAATCTTCAATCTTAATATAATCGTATCGGCATATTGAATGTGAATTTAAGATTTCATCCCTATGCTTCCTCTTAAAATATCCCGTCTTACATCAGACACGCGGCCTTCTCTCGCATCCATCCCGTCAAGTTTTCCTCTCACTTCTTTGTGCCAGCTCACAGGAATCTCCTCACTTCATTTTCCGCGAACCACCCCTAGAGAGGTGTTTCCAGATACAGCCAAAGTGTACCTCCATCATCCATCGAAAACATTCAATACCATAGCCCCGTCAGAGCAAGTGCGCCGGTCAATCATTGGTTTACTGGTTAGTGCTTAATCGCATTTATTGCTTGGAGTATTAAGAGCCCTGGCTGCTGTCTTGAGACGTGAATGAGTCTTGCACAATTTTTTGACACGATGAATATCCAATCTGGATATTTTCAGAAGAATCTCCCAGACTTCATTCGACTGCCTGTAAAATATTAGCTAGGTGTTACCAGTCATGAATCATGTATTCTCTGTCTACAGTCTGATAGTCAAATTCCGTTATTTCGATGATCTCATAAAAAGACGAGGAAATGTCTAGGTCCATCAAATTCTTAGATTTGTGCATACAACACACTCTTCCCAACTCCTATTTTTATGCACCAATCTCTTTTAAAGCTCGATTATTATTCTGTTACGGGCATCGCCGGGAAATTGCTCTTTTCTGTGTGAGAATGGGGTTAGGATATTTGCAAGTAGTCTGCATTCTAATTTTTCTCCAGCTTTTTGAAGAAAAAGTTATCACACTCCGTTAATATCATCAACAGCGAGAGCCTAATCTGTTAAAAGCACTTGATATGTAACGAGGAATGTTTGTTAATACAATGCTATTGTGTATGAATGACTCGTCTGTTGTTTGCTAGAAGAGCTTGTGTGGCTATCATGCAGAATCCGCCATCAAACTAAGGCACTTTCCCAAACTATTTAAGGCGAGAAAACTATCATCTCAAGTCATTTTGAACAATGGCATGCATTGGATTTTCTGAATTTCTATCATCGCTCTCGTCTCATTCTCCGCAAATAGGATTGTAGGCCATTCGCCTATCTCGCTTAAAACCCTGGAATATTATCTATTCCGAGACGAGCGACTTTGTTGATGGGTTGCTATTACGTTAAAAAGTAAATTCATGTTAAAATAGTGCCTGGAATAAAATCTTAGGTCCTGTGAATTAGAGGCGCTCGAATTATTATTAACGTGTAGGAGGCGCGATAAATAAGGTCGAGACGGCTGTAAAGAATTCTGTCAAAGTTAAGATCTTGATGGTCTGTAGTAACCCCTTAAACGCGCATGAGCACCAGTATCATCTAATTCACAATAAAGACTCATATTGTTGTATTCTATCGATTCATTAGGATGCGGAATCGCTCTTCTTGGAGATATGTCAAGCAAAAGAGGTACGGCAGGTACGCGAATACACCCTGCGTGCTAGATGAATCTGGAATGAGACGCAATTGAAGAAGCGCCCTGCTCAATCCGGTCGTTTCTAATTAGTCGAACTTCTTAAGTAAGGGAATCTGGACAAATGATCGTCTAGTAGTATCTTACTCTCCTTGCCCCTGCTTTCAACCAATTCGTCAAGAGTCAAAGATGAGAAAATAAACTGTAACATTTAAGCGAAGAACTAATAAAGGATTTATCCTTGACATCTCTCTTCATAGGTGAGATGAAGAAACACAAGGAGCTACAAGCGTTTCTTTCAGATAATCATAAGACAGTTCATGTTGTTACTGTATTGACATGGTCTGTACAAGTGTGCGCTGGAATAAGTTTTAATTTCTCTATTGGCGCGAAAGTTAGTGTGCACCAATGTAGTGATTTGGGAAATTCTAAATATCCCTAGAATCTCTTCCTACAGCCTTCATGCCTTCACGCAAAGTATCAGAAGCGAGTTTCAATTACCGATCATTGTATATATAAACAGAAAGAAATTCCTACATACTTGAAAGAAAACTTACATGCGTAGGTATTCAGAGTTAGTTGATCAGAAAACAGCTAACACACTCAAAACTGTCCTTTCCCCGGGTCGACTCCTCGGAGTCGGTACATGCATCAAATTCGAAATTTCGATTTCTGATCTACTCAATCATTTTGGCATAGGGGTTCTATTTACTCACTGACCCGTTATGTTTGGCGCAATAATTCATGCATCCTCTCCAAGTTAATGAGGGTTCAGTTTCCATATCAACTCAGTACGGGCCTACCCCGCGTTCATAACCTTATTGATGCTGAGCGATTCGTGCTAACCAACAGTATTTGAGATACCGCCCCATTGAACAATGGGAACGGTAGCAGTCGGCGCACCGTACCTTATACTCTACAGTATGCTCACCCACAGATAATGTCCATAATATGCGCTCATACGGCCATTTTTCTGCGACCGAGGAACAACCGCGTAGAACAATGGCCACAATGCCTTTGTGAGAACTGTTTACTAAGTGTCTGCAGTATCATTACAATGGATATACCTTCTAATGAAGGAGGTTCAATATGAAGCCGTAGATGATATGTTTTTGATTATGCTAGCGTACTTCCTGTAAACTCCCATCCATTCTTAAGGATTTTTTGAGACCCAGCTTTTCGAAAAAAAACATTGAAAAGTTCTTTACAGTATTCTAATAACCTTCAGAAGAATTCTTAGATAACTGATCAACATACTATCAGCGACTTCTACAAGTACATACTGATAGCATTTCAAATTCAAAAACAACTTCACGAGTACCCAAGATTCTTCTTTACTCTTCAACCTCCAGCTCAATTTCAATTTACTTGCTCAATCACAGCAAGTCTTTACAACAAGCATCAAAATGTCTTACCCAGACTATCTTGATGACATGGAATCTCAACTCGCCAGCTACTTAGGCGAAGATCCATCGACATTCTTTTCCAGTGAGAATGCAACTGCGCCCGCTCCCGTAGATTCTCTCGAAGAGTTATCTTACGACATGAATGGTCAATTCACCTGGGACGACTTCCTCAACGAAGAGGGAATCGAAACAACCTCTCCTCCTCCCATCACCCTGGAATGGAATCCAACTGAGGCAGATTTCTACAGTAATGAAATTGCTGCGCCTCCAACGGTCGATGAGACTAGCCCAGAAGAGCCAGAGCAGTCACCAAGACGAGATGAAGAGGCTCGCACCAATGTCGAAAGTGGTAACACCAATGAGCAAGCGGTTGCAACACCTTCCCAGCCTGAGCCTCAGCCGGAAGAAAACACAATCTTCCCTGACGATGATTCTCTTTTCGGCGGCAGCACCTCTGAAGACATCGACGTTCCAAAAATCAATGAGGAACATCAATCCGAGGTCGTAGCACAAGGAGCTAACAGCACTTCCGAACTTGTGGCTGACACACCACAACATGGCGACAGTGCTGCCTCCGCACCAGTTACTTCTGGTGTAGATCTTAACAACACCGAAGCGGATGATGACAATGATTCTCTGTTTGGTGACGTCGATGATTCTGGTCTCGGTGACGGCTCCCAGCCTACAGAAAATAAATTGCCAGCAGGTGACGATGCACCTAACGGCACTCAAGCAGATGATGTCGACGACCTCTTTGACTCCGCATTTGGGGATGATTTTGAGGCGGAACTTGAGGCGGAACTTAAGAAAGACAGTGCCAACGCTGTGGCTCCCACTATTCCGAAGCACACTGGGCTTCACCTTCCAAAGCCTCCTCAGAAGGTGGCCAAATCTCAGGGGTTACATCTTCCTGACCCCCCACGTGCAATCGCAAATCCACAAGGATTGCACCTCCCTGCAACTCCTCAGAAGTCGGTTGCTCCTCAAGGACTACACCTCCCCGAACCCCCACGTGTGGTGGCTAGCCCACAGGGACTAAATCTCCCTGTTCCTCCTACTGTGGTAGCCGACCAACAGGGACTGCACCTACCAAGTCAACCTTCTGCGACAGTCAAACAGCAGAGCGGAGCCGAAATTTCGGCTCAAGAAGAGACTGGTGATCAAGAGGACGGCGTAGCTTCGACCAGACGCCGCAAGGTCAGAGCTAGCAGAATTCCGAGATCTGACATGAGTCGACCAAAAGGTAGGGGACAAGCTGGCAAAGTTCTTACGCAACTCTCTGGACCGGCTCCTTCCAAATTGCCAGAAACTAAACCAAGCTCATCTTCCGGTGCTAATGACACAGCTGAAAAAGTTACGCATTTGCCTCGATGGGCCTTCGGGAAGTACACCAGCTTTAGCAAACCTGTTGCTGGCAGTAAATATCGAAAGCCAAACAACTCGGTACAAAATCCGATACCAGTTGAGGATGAGCAAGATTCTGTGGAGCAGACCAACGAGATAGCGAATCCTCAATCGCAGGATACAGTCCAATCAGGAATGAAAATGGTCGGTGCCATTGATCTCACTTCTGATACCGGAATGAATTGGTCGTAAATAGTAGCGTCCAACAGGGTCAAGATCCAAACCATATTGATGGTGAAGACTCCACTCGTCCTTACGAGAACTTCCAAATCCCTGCCTCTGGCAATGACATGGATTTTACATTAGGCAATAACGAACTTCTGAATTCTCTCGGCGAATTGAACTTTCCGCCGGTTATTGATGATGCGGGTCCAGCTCCACAACTGCAGACATATCAGGCGCACAGTTCCGCGGCCCTGGGGATTGCACCACCTGTCGCTCCCCAGTATGGGGTTCCTCCTCCTCCTTCCATGATGGAGGATTTCTCGCTATATGGAAAGCTCCAATGGCCAGCAGCGACAGTATCCACCATTTACAAGTACCTAATGTACATGGTGCAGGGACGTTTGCATATCAGCCTCCAAATATCATGGGGCAGAGCGGTGCAAAAAACTATCAGCCCGCCAGTCAGCCAATGCAGACTGGTAACTTTGAACAAGGAAGCGGGTATGGTCTACGCGATGACATGGTTCAAGCCACACCTGCAGACATTGGAGGCAGCAATTCCACAGGACTGAACGACAATGGTCCTAAGAAGCGTCTCAGTCACGAACGTGCTGAGTATGGTGACCCTCGAGTCTTAATGACATACGACGAGTTCAAACAGATATTTCCACAAGAACCAACACGTGGATGTTTTGAGGTCGCCATCCAGAACGAGCGGGCAGCAGACGCGGCAATAGTTGCGAGGGTAGGAGTTCCTCCACAGAGACCGACGATCCGCAAGTCAATAATTTGCACCTGGAGCCAGGTGCAACATCTGAATCGGTGAGTTTCCTCGAAAGATTTGTTTGAGCCTTGATGAATTTATTGCTAACTGATACTTTCTAGAATCCGTGCTGCCAATGGCGAAAAGCTTTTTGAGCCAAAGCCAAATGCCCACAAACGACCGGAAGCGTTTAAAGAGAGCTTGCGGAGGAAGAGACAGGAGCGTGGTGAAACCTCAGAATCTGAGGAATCCGACATGGAACCAGAGGCAAAGCGATTGAGACTCACTCAGGCGCCAATGCAAATGGCAAAATCATCTGGTGAACATTATGGAGAACGTAGTTCACAGATACGTCCTATTCAGCCTGGTAATCCTCAAGTATTGGCTGATGTACACCTTCCCCTCAACGACGGAGCACTTCAGGGTCCTGTATCTCAGAGTAGGCCAGTATCTCGTTCCCACAGATCCACCAGCCAGTACCACAGTCTTTCAAGAGAAAGATGAATACTGAGCAGTGGGAGGGTCTTGATTCTGCGGTGCAAGAAACGGGACCAACGGCCAAGCGACCGAAACTTGCCATTACTCCAAGCCAACATGCTGAGCCTATAAATAACCATTTAAGAATGGACGGGTTTGAAAAGTACGTCTCAGAAAGACAGTCTGAATACCTGAAGCTGCGTGTGACAGAGCTAAAGCAGCTTTGTAAGACTCGCGGCATCAAACACGGCAATTTCAATGGTTTGTCGAAAGGCGGTTTAGTTGGTGTTCTGGTGGGACAGGATGTCAACCGCCACCCTGTCTATAGCCAAATGCATCATCAAGCCCAGGCTAGAGTTGCAACCCGCCAGGAACGTCCAATCCTTGGTGTTGGCAGAATGGGTGGAATGAACCCACCAACTGTTGCTGCAAACCGGAGTCGGCAACAACTCAGGCAACCCAATGGATGGGGCATTCGTCAGGGTTCATCAAGACCTGAAATTGGTCCAGTCCATGGTATGGGCTTAAATCATCATCAGCGAACCCCGACACAGTTCCCCCATGCTGGTGACCATAGAGCACCTGGTCCTGCACCCATGGGATTCGTGACAAATTCGGGTCTTAATAGTGGTCCAAGTTATGGTAATTCACGGCCAGTCAATGTCGGACATGCCCAGCAGCGTTACACGAATGGTAATGCTAGCAGAATGGCCAATGATGGTGGTCAATCACAGCCGAGTATCAGGCAGGCCTCTCAAGGTCCCATGATGCATCCCAGTGCTGCCAATCCGTATGCTCGATCGCAAATACCGGTCAGCGTCCAGAACAGTGGTTACAACAACAGCGGCATCCATCAAAATATAAATGGAGGTCGCAATAACCATACCAGCGCCAACGCTCAGATTCCAGCTTATGGTATCGCTGGCGATTTTGGTGCTGGCATCTATCAGCCAGCAGTTGATGACCGTCGAAGAAAACCGAGGATCGTCGGTCAAGAAGCACCAAGCAGAGTTCCTCGAGGCAATCAGAGGAGCGCCCCAAAGCCACCGGTGAGCTTGCCACAACCTGCGATGAATAATACCGCAAGGAGTTACAGCATCACCCAGCCGTCTATGGCTGGCAGGGCCAGCGGCAATATCCAGATGGGTCATCAAGCAAATACTCTTGGTGGCTCTCAAATACCAAGGCCCGCCCACGGTGGGAACATGGGAGGCGATCCCCGAAGATTCATGCAGAATCATCCTCAAGGTGGCCTCTGCTCAGCCCTGTGCAAGGTCTTAGTCGGGGAGTCCAGCAACAGCATGCTGGAGCTCAACTTTCTCGACCACCTTACCACGGTCCGCCTTGAGGTAATCCGTCCGACAGGCAGCATTCTGGTCCTGCGCCACCGGCTTGAGTTGCAGATATTGTGTAACGAATTGACAATAGCCATGAGTCTTGAACAGGCTGAGAACTGAAGGGAAAAAAAGTTTGAGAATTGCTCTCGGAATACATTCGGATAGAACGGATATTGACACAGCGGGTTTTGGAAAACATGGCTGGCGAATTTTGGTGTAGCTACCTAGGTAGTTGGTGGTTTCTTTTGGTAATAGATTTTGGTTAGAATTTTTGATACCCCACGTTTTTTATAGGAGTTTCGGATTTATGTTGAATTGTATATCTCATATTGTCTTTTGGTGTTTGAGTGTTTGGGTCAGAAAGATTTGGCGTCGGGAACATGTACCAAGTAACACTGACTTGTGGAAAGCTGTTTATTGATACTAAAAGAATGAATATCAATATCAATTTAAGTCCTCATTAGGAAAGCACAAGTGATTTGGTGAATTGGTGCCACAGAAGTCGGTGATTGTGAATTGTAATGTTTTTTTTTTCGAAATGGTAATGGCTCGGAGTGCCACGGATATCAGTGATGTAATCCGATCGTATTGAATGTTCCATAATACTAAATAACTGCAGGAAAAAAGTAAATTAGCTTGGTGATCTCAATGTCTCAATGGAGATTATTCTGCATATATATATACATACCAAAAGCTCGTTTCTTACGCTTTGAGCTGCTAGCAAAAAATTACTCACAGAATGTTTGTTCGTAAGAAACTTGTGACCGAATGAACTTACCTCTTTATGCCGATGTTCATTCCAGAAGTTTACAGATTCTCCTTGTAAAGTAGCTTCGGATTCATTCATGATAATGGATGATTTTAAGGTGACAAGAAAAGCCGAATTCATTAACGTTAGTCAGGCGATGTGAATATGCTTTACTTTACAGTTGTGAGCCACAACAATAAATACCTGAACTTTAGTCTTGAAAGGAGGAAGTGATCTTTGCCCTGAATGAGTTGAATCAAGAAGTCGATGAAGAACACCATTTTCTTCGATCAACTTGAGGATCAATAGGAAGGATATAGAGATTTCTCAAGTACCTTATGCTTTTAGATTAAAGTCAAGTATGCTGGCTTCTGAACATGCTTGATTTCGTGGGTTTCTTTGCTTTCTGCTCCTGGATATTTGTATTTTACAAAACAGTTGATCTTTCATGATACTACCAGCTATTGATGTGATGTTATTTATACAGAAGCCAAGGATTTAGGTGTAAATGATACATCGGAATACATCGGCTACATGTATTTACAAAATTTTACGTGGTTAGATACTGCATTTGGCTTCAGTCCGAATGGCTGTGAAGCGAAATTCTCGCTTCAAAATATTACGACAACAGTATTGAATTAGACACTAGTTAGAGGACAGTCAGACTAGATGGAACAATGGTTGGATCATTGATTAGCGTCGAAATCCAAGATGGAGAACACAGCCACTTGCCTTTTCTTTCGCATAGTGTTTGCTTGCAATCCATTAGCCGAAATTCACAAGCGGAACTGGTTCAATGAACATGTTTCCAAGAACTTCTATCAGATTTAATCTAGTGCATATAAAAAAGTTGTATAGAGTTCTCCTTTTCCGACCTCTCGAATTTAAATACATATCCATAAAACTTCGTTCCTTTCTGAATCAAATTTTATTATCCTGATCTCCAAAAGGACTAAGATGAACGAAACCGTTAATTGGCAGACTTCTTCACGTGAGCTTCACACCACTGTTATGTCTATTGTGCGATCCTTGACGGTTCTACCGCATCCAAGAACGCTTAGGATGATGGCAAAAATGGATCTGGAGTATTCCCTGATAATAAGTATACTTACTTCCTTCTGCGTATAGCTCCCGAGGTCATGGAAGGTTCAATCCGAAGAAGATCAATGTCGTTAAATTGGAGTGGCAATGTCTACCTGATTGTCCTGACCCGAGGCTGGTCATTGTCAACCGCCAATACAACGCGACATCGCAGAGGAAAAGCTCTAACTCAGCTCTAGTGAAGTAATAATGATCAATGAAAAAAGGAACTAGATGACAATGATTCATATCAGCGATACTAATCATGAAAACTTATTTGTGTGACGTTCTATGACGTTCGATTTCCTGATCGCGTACTAGTAGTCTAAACTACTAATCCTGGAGAAGAGAATGCGAATGATGGAACGAAAATCCATGACAATGATGAGAAAGACAGTGAATGAATCAGTTGCAGACGATAGTAGTATTGACGTCAAAAAATCACAACTTCTCCTCCTTGGGAGCCTAGGAGACCATTCAGAAGGACTCAAAGCTTGCGCACTCGTAAATCGTGGAGGGCCAGAATGCTCAGACAATCAATGCGATATTTACAATCATTTCGTGTTTCTGATTTTCTGAAGCTCATTCATGAATCGTTGCTACAGACAAAATGGCTACTTAACAGTCGAATTAAGTCAGGATTCGCTCGTCATTGTACCGAAATTTCGGTCTTCTCTTCTCCTTCTCATTCACCCGTGCGAATGTAAAGAATGTCGATCAAGATATCAAACAATCTGTGCGTAAAAAGGTACCAGAAAATGTACCCGGTGACCCCGCACCGTTTCCACTCAAGTTCTCCAAGAAGCTCAGCCATGATAATACTCATTCACCTAAGACTTTTTAGACCCCAGATTGCCCGCTTTTTAGCAGACGCTCTGAGCGATGTCATCAGATCATAGGGACTACGGCTCATGCTTTCAACCTGTAGCCGCAAAACTACTCAGAAAAGCAATTTCCTTTCGGCCTTCGGCTCAGTCATCACATATAAATAAGCAAGCCCCCGATAAACACAGAGATCCCGACCGGCATTATGACTCGTGCATACATGGAGATAGCTGGTGAGCAGCCGAGCAAGCCACTTAGCCATGTGATTTAACACTAGAAAGCGGGAACAAGGCAACCAAGTAATATCTAGCAAGAACACTAAGTGACATTGCAACGAATGATAAAGCGAATGAATTATACTGGTGAGAATACGATGATGAATGCTAGTTCAGCGCCGCTAATTACGCCCCAGCGTTTCTCATGCCACCTATGGCTTTGCCGCCCCCATCTTCAACGTTTAATGATATGTCATTATGAGAATAGAAACTCAGTCCTGAAACTAATGAATGCCACGCCAAAATAGCGGTATCGGAAAGGAGTGACAGCACAAACGGAAAGTAGTGGGATCTGACCAAATATTCCGAAAGATCGGTAAATTACCTTTAGATTAGACAGAAACCCTTGGAGGGTAAGCATAGACATAAGCATAGTCTGCTACCCATGTGGGTAAAATATGTGATTTGAAACGCATGCGAACATGCGATGCGTACTTGGGATCGATACATTGATTGGCACATGAGATGCAAGATGCCATGTTATCGGGCAGTCGCAGGGCAGCTCACCTCGTACGTACAAGCCATGATTATTTCAGCATACTAGTCAGATGGAAATCTTGGCTCTTTAGGTACCATATAGTATAACGTGAAATATGCGTGGTTGCGGCACAGTGATAGCGTGGTGAACAAGGTTATGAAGCAAATTGTATGGCTGAGAGGTTACCGACTGCGTGGTTCTGCAGGGTGCGTGCAGAAGGAATGCGTTTTCGATTGGAAATAAAAGCTGAAAAAGTAAGGTTAGTGTATATGCTAAGGAGGGACTTGTTCGTCAACGAATGAATCGAGCGATGAACATGTCCATATTTGGCCTGGTCGGGTAGATGTACTCGGCGAGCGCGAACAGATCAAGAACCTAAGGTTTTCAAGTTTCCCGTCCCGCCCCATTCCTCTCCTCCACCTCCACACCTACCCATGTTTCATCTCAAACTGAACACACTTATTTTCGCACCTAAACATCTTTCCCGACTAGGCCAATCACCTGATCGCACCTTCATGCACAAAAGCAAAACGTCTTTCCCGTATATTCAGAATCGGAAGTCGGAGCTGAACCTGACTTGGGTGATGTTACACGAAAACTAGGGACATTCCGGGGTGCCAAGAGTCCTGAAGTACAGACCCGTGAATCATTGATGTACTTCGCACAAACGGACGGGCTGATAGACTATCAGGTTGTGATACAAGAGTGACAAGAAGAAAGATATCACATTATTACGGAGGATTAGTATGAAGTCTGTATGCGTCTTGACACGGGTGGTCTTGCCGCTTGTGTACCAGATTTTGCATTACTGACCTAAATGTCATCGATGCAAGTGAGTATATATTTCTTTTTTCTTGCGTTTCTTGGAGTGCAGTTTGGAGTGCATACATGCCGGTACATACCTAGACTTTTTCTTTTTTTCTCTTTCTACTCTGCACATAATACATACGCACTGTAGCCGTATCACAGAGATTCAAAACGTGGCAGCCCAATATCTAACCAAACCCAAGCCTTGTCCAAGAACGCCTTTTCTGGCAAACAGCTGATTGTGGAACTAAAGGTTCACTGACTCAAAACCGTCTCTCTCCCTCCAGTATCCTCGAAGAACATGATTCGGGTTATTGACGAATGCTCGAATAGTCTGACTGATTTTAATGATTAACAACCTTTAAAGTTTTTTTGTAAATTAACTGCATTAGTTTGTTTCTCGGAGAGATTTAGGATGTTCGTTCAATATGGTGGGGGTGGCTCTGAGTATTATGGTGGGAACTTGGAAAGGTCATACTCCGCAGCGGAATGAAAAGTGCCGCCGGGTTCAAGGGAGAAGTTTCTATCTATATACAGGGAAGAGTTTATAGCCGAAGAGTAGATCGAGAAGGATTATCGAGGGGGGTGAAGTTAGGATGAGGTTACACAAGGGTTTTCATCTTTATGCGATCATGGATATTTTTGCAGAAATTTGAAGTAATCGTACGAGTACTCGTATAATGAATGTTATGTGTGAAGATGCCTTGGCAACAAGGTCCTCAATGAAGGAGCTCATTCCATTCCACATTGGAACCAATCACCGACCTGGAGATTTATATCAATTTAATCATTCATTCCTCCGAAACTTGGCTCGGCATTCACGTCAATCGGACGTTGACACTAATTCTTTCCAGAGTAATGACAATTCTTCTGCATCTCGTCACATTCGGCATTCGGTACTCACTGA